GTATTCGGTGAATGGAAGTTCCTGTTTCTCCACCAGCTCACTCAGGTCCGCCATCTCCTCCCGGTGGTCCATACAGCCGCTCTGGAGCCAAAATAATGGGGTCACATCTCGGCAGCGACCTGCCCTCAGGTGGCATTTTCAAATCAGTCATGGAGAAGCTGGAGGTGAGTCCTGGCATGGGCCAACTTCTCCATGACTTCCTACAGGGCCCGGTGGGTCTCCCCACTCACAGACTCGCCCCCAGTCCCTGGGGCTGGGACCGCTGCCTCTGGCTCCTTCTGGGCCGAGGCCACCAGGTGAGCCAGGCGCTGGCAGTACACCCTCTGCTCTGTCACCCGCTCTCGTAACCGTGCCTGTTCCTCCTGGGCACTGGCTCCAGCGGATTTGAAAAATGCCACCTGAGGGCAAGGCGTGAGCATTCTTGTAGGGGCATACACAGAACAAATGGGGCAGAGGGGTGGAGCGTGGCCCCTTCCCTTGGGGCCTCAGTTCGTCACAGGTGAAATGGGGTCTGACTACTGGCTCTTGGAAGGGGTGAGGGTCCAGAGAAATCAGAAGGCAGTGAAAGTAAGAGCATAAAGGGGTCTGGGAGGGACCACAGAGGAAGGTGACAAAATCGGTGCGGGGGGAGTCAGGCTCACCATGGCCTCCCAGCTCTCCAGGTCCTCTGGGAGGCTCGGCATGGGCTGAGGTGCCTCCTCCTCCTCACTGTCCAGATGTTCTTCTCTCTCTCCTGTGGGGGGTGGCCAGAGGTGTCCTCAGACAACCCAACAAGGCAGGTACTATGGGCCCATCTCTGCCTCCACCCTCACTATGTAACCCTGAGCCAGCCCCTCCCCAGAGAGGAATAAACTACTGTTCTTTATTTTTCCTTTTAAGAACCAAGATCTTGCTATACCGCCCGGGCACAGTCCCACTACTGGTCGGTGCAGGAGTTCTGACCTGCTCCGTTTCTGACCTGGGCCAGTTCAGCCATCCTTAGGCAACTTGGTGGCCCCCCCTGCTCCCAGGAAGTCACCATATTGATGCCGAACTTAGTGCAGGCACCCGGTTGGCATAATGACCAGCTGTTCTAAAGGTCTCTTCCAACTCCTCAATCCTACACTGCTAACAGTCCCCCCTTCCTCCTGGGACTCTCTCCTCTTCCTCTGAGTGGTCTCCCGTACCTTCCCCAGGGAGAGCCATGAGACTCAGTTGGTCCTGCAGCTGCTGCTTCTGCTGGCTGGCAGCCTCCAGGTGCTCCTAAGGGGCCAGGAAAGAGTGAGAAGGCACGAAGTTTGCCAGGTTGTCCCCCTCATGGCCCCGTCTTCAGCAGCTCCCTCCCCTGGGTCTCCTGCAACTTTTGGCGGGCCATCTCGGCCACCGCTTTGCCCCAAGCTTCCTGCTGCTGCAGCTGGTTCATTAGCTGGGTCTGCTGCAGTAACTGCCTGTGCAGCGCCTCCTTCTCAGAGGTCAGCTGCTGATAGGCGGCCACCTGCTGCTGATAGGTGGCCACGGCCTGCTGCAGGTGACCCAGGTAATGGTCTGGCTGCTGCTGCAGACTCTGAGCCTTTTGGCTCTTCAGCTCCACCTGCAGGAAGACCCTGGGTGTGAGGGCACGTGGCGGCTGGCTTCCAGATTCTGGGCCCATTAATAGGGTAGCGAGGGCACTGTGGGGCTCTGTTGCCTACCCAGGCCCCTGGCCCCTTACTCCAGGCCTAAGTGACTGTCTCCCTTTCCTAGAACCCCATGCCTCCTTCCCCAGCCTCAAATCTCATACCCTCTTCTCACCATTTAAACTGTAGGCCACAGACTGGTGGAAAAGCAGTGGGAGCCAACCACTATGTGCTAAGTGTGCTACAGGCCTAATGCTTTCCATGTATTATCTCATTTAATCCTCAGCACCTCTGTAAAGAAAATGCTAACTTCCTTTTGAAATTAAAGAAACAGAGGCGGCTGGGCGCGATGGCTCATGCCTGTAATCCCAGGACTTTGGGAGGCCGAGG